ATCACTGACTCCTCTCCCCTGATCCCACAGCTGGCTTTTAGATTAACCCTCTGACATCATTTACTAAAGAATGAATCATGGCTTGGTTGGCTGACAGACCCAGAGCTTCAAACCCCATGGCAGCTGAAAGGCCATGCAGGATGCCATAATTGAGGCTTGCCATACGTAGGGGAGGCAGCAAGCCCTCCTGGAGGGGGCCTGTTGTCTGAGCCTTCAGCTGAAGAGATAAGAACCTAAACTTCAGCAACAGGAAATGACAAAGCAGTGACTGATGGGGAGCCACTGTACAGGGCTCGTTATGGCGTTTGCCAGCAGTCGAGACACCCTTATCATGTAGAAAATTGCATCAGGCCCCCTGAATTACTAGCGATTGGAAGTAGATTTCTTGGGACGCACTTTGTTAGATACCTAATGAGAGGGAGGTGAGGGCAGAATCCAAAGCTGGCGGGTGGGGGAAAATGTCTTTGTTAAACAGAATTTGTCAGTTTCCGCTCCAGGCTCCCTGGGGAGGATTCAGGACCACCTAATTGAATTAAAAGCAGTGCACTCCAGCTGGAAGGCTCTGGGCGGGGTAAGAGGCCCCAGTCTAGTAGGGGGACTTTCAGCAGCAAGGACAGCAGCTGCAACCTGGTTAGTCTGTAATTGCCAGGGCAAGCTGGAACTGTTGCATTTTGCATGATCTGGGGGATGGAGTGTATAGGAGAGAAGCAGAATATGTAAGTGGAGGAGGGGGAAACAGGAGACTCAAAAAACCTTGAGCTTATGATGCTCATGGCCTGGTCTGTCTCAACAGACCCGCCTGCAGGCATCAGTGAGGGCTGGAAGGCATATGGAAGAGGTGTCTTCTCCCCACCATGGCACTCGTCATGTGGGGCAGCTGCTGTGGCAGCACAAGGAGTGGTGGGCTGAGCTCCCAGTCTGAGCCAGTGCATGGCGATGCATTGCTTTGAGCTTTCAAAGTAAGTCTCCAGTTACAACCCTAATGAAGCTGGATGTGCTGCAGCCATGGAGCCACAGAGTGAAAAGCCACTTGTCAGCCCCAAGCTGCCTCAATAGGCAGGGCATGCCTGCCAAGTAGAAGAACAAGTAAGCAGGCTTGTGGGGTGGGCCAGCAGCCCCCACTCCAACCCCCATCTGGAGGAAAGGGAGAGAGCCAAGAAAGGCTGGGACTACATAAGGAAGAATTAACCACAAGGCTTCACCCTTTCCCCCATTTTAGCCTTGCCCTTTCCCCCATCCTCTACCCTCACCCACCACTTCCAGCAGCCTGTCCCCTCCCTGGAGTCTTAAACAAGCTCCTTTCCCATAGAAAGAAGGCAGGAGGGCACAATCTCCTCCCCAAAATAAGGCAGTGAAAGCTGAGGAGTCTGGAGAGGTAAAGGACGGTGAGGGAGAATTTAGGCACTTCGTGAGGCACTATGGCCTTCCTGGTGCCAGTTATCTCACATGACAAGAGCAACTGCCTCTGGCCTTGCCTGTGGGGCCTATACTATGTGGAAGTCTAAAGACTTTTCTGCAAAAACCACCCACCCACCTTGCCCCCAACCAGGCCACAATACATCCTGACAAAATTGATTGAAAATGTGGGTAGGAGACCTGCAGAGGTGGGTAGGGTGTGGAGGTGCTGGTATGAAACAGCTATGGGAGCAGATATAGGCCAGGACCAGCCATGGAGAGGGCAGAGCAGTGCAAAACCTCTGAGTCTGACAGGGGCTCTGGGTAGAGCAGCTGAGGGTCAGAAGGGAGTGCAATGGGCAGTATAGACTAGAATCCATAGATGCTGTGCTTTTCAGAGCACACCCACCCACCAGAAACTGATGGGGTAAAAAGCACTGGACTGGACTGGGGTCAGTCTCGTTTTTATTTTGTTGTTATAATGAAATTAAATGAATTATCCATCACAAGCTTCAAAATATACATAAAAGTATCCTGTGAATGCCCAGTTTCATAAATGTCAGCTTTTGAGTCACTGAGTTGACACTTCTCGGCCACAGAGGGTGGATGTCAGGGAGACAGGCTATGGGGGAGGGGACTTTCTCAGTATGGTGTCCCTGCTTTCAGAACTGATAGGGCACCTCTGGAGACCTCCCTTGATTTCATTACTTCTATTTCCTCTTCTAACTGGATTAGATGGCAGTCTATGAAATCCAGGACATCAAAATTGGCTTGCTGCCTGGAAATGAGGAAAAATGTCATTATGGGTCCTGAATCAGCATCTCACCCCAGCCTCGGGGGCCACTTTGTCAATGGGAAGTTAGTCTTTACCCTGGGTAGTTACTCTTTCCTTCATTCTCTCTTGCACCCATTCATCCATCCATCCATCCATCTATCCATCCATCCAATATGTATTCTGTTGTTCTCTGCAGCCATCCTGGTGTTCAGCCATTCTGAACAGGAGAAAGATATGGTGTTTTTTCCTATATAAAACAGACAACACAAAATGCCAAAACCATCTGACTCAGATGCTGCACTGAGGCCCTGGGCATGTTCAATGAGGAGCCCCTGAGTGAGTTCCAGCCTCTATGTACATAGCTACTGAGAGGAGCAGGTGAGAGAGACAGCCAGGCCTACTGCCCAGGGAAAAACAGTCCCAGAAATCTTGATTTTAACAAGCAGTAGGTGCCTTAGTCAGCCCCAAGGTCACCCAAGCTTCATTCTTCCCATTCCAACAGTCTTTGTTCAGCTGTTTTCTCTTTGGAAGTATTTATCCTTAAATCCAGGGATGGGGTGGAGGGTGGGGGTAAGGGTGAGAGTGCGGGCAACTTGAACAAGATATACTCTACTGACACAAGCCTGAAAAGGCTTCATGTTAATGAATTTCTGCACACACAATTTTATTTTTAAAGGACATAAAGGATCCCAGTGGTAAAGTGAAGGATCTTTGTCCTGATTCGTATGATTCATGAGTGGGCTTTCATATAGAGTACCAAGTTCTCACTGTTCAGAGTGAGACACTCAAGCACTTCTAACCCTTAACACATCTGTCCTGTTTGGCACTATGCCCATTCTTCTATTTACTTCTAGAACAACACTCTAAACCAAAGGTTGACAACCGGTGGTCCATGAGGTCTGAACGGTTGGTGAATGCTGCTCTAGAAAGTGCCATATTTGTCTGCTTTTGGCCAAGAAAGAATTCTATCAACTAATGTACGGTGAAAGTGGATCACCTTCAAGGTCCTTACAAACTTGATACTGCATAATTCTTTGAACAATACAGTTATGGCTAACTACAGATTTTCAACAGAGCTTTAAAGTAACCTCTCACTAGAGAGAGCATAAGACATGTCCCCAAGTCCAAAAAACTTAAAAGTTTTATCCTAATAAAAAAGTAATATGCAAATTGACTGTCACTCCAAGATACAAGGTGGCCACCTCCAGTGGTTAAAGATGGCTGCCATATGATGGCCAGCAGAAGGGGCAGTTGTGGGAAGTTAGGGGTGACCAGACCAGCAGAGGAGGGCAGTTGGGGGTGACCAGGCTGGCAGAGGAAGTCAGTTAGGGGCAATCAGGCCGTCTGGGGAGCAGTTAGGTATTGACCAGGCTGGCAGGGAAGTGGTTAGGGGGTGATTAGGCTGGCAGGCAGTAGCAGTTAGGGGCAACCAGATAGAGGCAGGTGAGCGGTTGGGAGTCAGCAGTCCTGGACTGTGAGAGAGATTGTAGGATTGGGCTTAAATGGGCAGTCAGACATCCCTTGAGGAGTCCCGGATTCTAGAGGGTGCAGGCTGGGCAGAGGGACAGCCCCACCCCTGCCCCCATGCATGAATTTTGTGCACTGGGCCTCTAGTTAAAAAAATAAAATGGCAAACAAGCCTGGAGTTAGAGACCAATGTGAGCACAGAGAGCTAGTGGTTGGGCTGGAAGAACCCAGAAAAGCTTTGAGCAAGTGTGGGCAGAGACCATTAGGCTTCCTAGAGGGGCTGGTATTTGAGTGGGTCAAATTCTAGACAAGCAGAGATGAGAGTGAAAATCATACCAAGAGAGGAGGAGGAAAATAGAAAACAAGACATTAAAGGAGAAAGGGGAGGGAGGGAGGAAAGGAGGGAGGGGAGAGAGAGAGAGAGAGAGAGAGAGAGAGAGAGAGAGAGAGAGAGACTGTTTAAGGGGTGATAAGAGGAAGAATGACAGAGATGGAATGGAAAATAAGTCTGCACAGCAAAGGGTGTCACAGGAGTGTGGAGATTTTAGAAGCTGTTGTTACTACACTGAGTATGGAAGTCATCGATGGGATCGTTTATTCTTTCAAAAGTGTTTATTGAGCATCTAAATGAGGCAAACGAGGGATAAACAAGGTCTCTGCTTACATATAACTTACATTCTAGCGTGGCGATTGGAGAAGTGAGGTAGGCAGTAAACAACTAAGCACATTTTTTGAAATTTAATTTTCTGGTAAAGTACTATGAATATATTATAGTAGTATAATGTGAAGAGAGTATTTTGGAAGAGGAATTACTTTTAGTAGGATGGGCCTCCACCTCAAAGAGCAGAACTCTCTAAGAAAATCACATTTGGGCCGAGACCTGAGTGAAGAGACGGGAACAGCCATGTAAAGACCCCATGAGGCTTTCTAGGTAGAGAAAACAGCAGATGCAAAGGCCTAGAGCACATGTGTCAAACACAAGGCCCGCAGGCCAAATCCGTCCTGCCAGGCCTTGCAATGTGGCCCGCACCGCGCTGTCATCACTGTACTCCGCTGCGTTTCCATCACAATGACAGTTTATGACTGTTCAGTAAACCATTCGGCCCACGATTTAGGCTGGATTTTAGATTTTGGCCCCTTCTCTGATTGAGTTCGACACCCCTAGCCTAGAGGCAGGAAGAGCTTGGCTTGTTAGAGAAACATCAAGGACAGTGTGATTAGGGCCCAGAGAGCATGGGGGCAGGAGGTAGACAGGGGCCCAAATACAGGGTCTCCTGAGCCATGAGGAGGAGAGGTTTGGGGTGTAGAAAGTGCACTATGGTAGAGAGGCACAGAGGAATTTCTTTGCACTTTCTCTTCCCAGAGGCCAGAAAACTTCTTAACACCAAACAACTGCAAGGTTCTGCCCACGCTGGACCCTCAAATCTTAGATGAGAAGCTGGGTTCCACCTACGAGTCCCAGTCCAAGGCCACAGTGAGCTCCACAATAAATTCCAGCACATCCACCTACCAGCAAGCAGAGGAAAAGCCTCAGATGCCCCAAATGTCCCATGAAATGGTGAGTGTCTCTCTCCTTTCCCAGACCTGGGAGGGCTGGAGCCATGATAGGGGGGATTTGGAAGGGACTTGACTGGCTTTATGGGCCTAGTTCACTCCTCAGGTGACAAGTAGACCTCCCCTTGGGAGCACTCTGTAAGTGAGTTACCCCAAATCTAAACTGTGGAAGGTGTGCATTCTTCATTTTACAAAGTTTATTTCTCTTTTGAATGAAATACCCATACGATTTTTTTTTTAAACAAACCTTGCAACACTGTATAAGCTGGTTCCATTTACTCAACTAGTCATCAACTCAGAGCATCCTCAGGAGCATGTGATTGGGTAATGGGAAGCCCTGAGAGGTTTGTTTTAGCTTCTAAAGTAATGACAAAGGAGATGGGATGGAAAATAAGTCTGCACAGCAAAGGGTGTCACAGGAGTGTGGAGATTTTAGAAGCTGTTGTTACTACACTGAGTATGGAAGTCTTAAATGGCATTGTTTGTTCTTTTAAAAGTGTTCATTGAGCATCTGAATGAGGCAGACGAGGGATAAACAAGGTCTCTGCTTACATATAACTTACATTCTAGCATGGAGACAGTAAACAACTAAACGCATTTTTTGAAATTTAATTTTCTGGTAAAGTACTATGAGCACAGTAAAATGCTATAATGTGAAGAGTATATTGGAGGAGCCTCAAAGGAAGAAGGACACCATCTTTGATCATGAGAGCTGGCATGGCTTCCTGTTGCCAGTTGGCCAGGTGCTGGGAAAGGGTTGGTGAAGGTGGCCAAACTGGTGTCTTAATTTGTTGAGGGGTCAGTGCTGGGTGCTAGCCCCTTGCTACAGAGTTGAAGTTCAGGGTACCAAAAAGACAGTCCACAGTCCCTAATTGAGGTACCAAGTCAATGACCATGGATGAATTCAAGTGTGGCTTCCTCTCTTCTTCCACAATGGGTCCCATGGTGAGCATTGCTCCAGAAGATCCTGAGAAAAGGCCCAAGCCAAGGCCACTGGCCAATAGGGAAGCCCTGGGTTTTCTCCTCTAGGGATCTCCCCTCTCACTAACAGCCTCTGCATATTCCCTGGGCACTCTGCACCTTTCTGAAACATGTCCCATAGGGAGGGTTGCTGTCTGCTGGGTGTGTCCAGGGTGCTCCCACATGAACTGCCTCTGCCCACCCCAGCACAGGCCCCTGCCTGGATGCCAGAGCACTCAGGCTATCTTCTACTCTCCTTCTTCTCACCTCTGCCTCTAGGGAAAGCAGTTATCTAACCTGATCTTCCAGTTTAGGCATTAGTTGGGTTGCAAATAAAGATTCAAATCTTGTCTTTGGAAACTTTGGACCAGCGATCGCCAACCTTTCGGACCTTGCGGACTACCAGTGGTCCATGGACCCACGGGTTGGCGACCGCTGCTTTAGACATATTAATAAATCAATGCCTGCAGTTAGTCTTGATTTTCTCTTAAGAATTAAACTGTAAGAGATGGGCTTGCCGGTTTGGCTCAGTGGATAGAATGTCAGCCTGTGGACTGAAAGGTCCCAGGTTCCATTCCTGGTCAGGGCACATGTGGGTTGCAAGCTTGTTCTCCAGTAGAGAGCATGCAGGAGGCAGCCAATCAATGATTCCCTCTCATCATTGATGTTTCTCTCTCTCTCTTCCTCTCCCTTCCTTTCTGAAGTCAATTTAAACTGTAAGAAATGGGATGGGATTGCATATTGAGAAGTCAAGATTAGCCATGAGTAAAAACCATTTTTAAGCAAGGGGCTGAGTAACCATTGTGAGTGATGAGGGCCAGAGGAGAAATAAGTGACCCAAGGGCACCAAAATGGATTTTGTGAGGCTCTGAGTACAAACAAGGGGCTCAGGGTTGCCCCATAGCTACAGGCTGTCAGAGATGTTGTGAGTGGGTCTAGATGGAGAACTAAAGAATGTCTTCTCTGAATACCACTCTAGCACACTCATCAGTGGGTTGGTCTTCCTTTTCTGTGCACCTGGCAAGGCCACAGGCACTAGCTGCTCTCCCTGGCTTGCTGTAAGGTTAAGTCCACTCAGCCAACACCATTCAGCTTTGAACTAAGAGCATACTGGCTCCAGGACCCAGTCCAGGCCTGGCTCCACACAAATGTAGGTAAATGCTTATTGGGCCATGTGCCAGAATCCCTGGCTAGACAGAAAGTACATTAAAAAGAACATCTTAGAGAGCATCTAGACTGAACTCCTGGTTTTACGAAGGATGGCAATAAGATGAAGTGGGACAACCCTGCCAAGGCTCCTGACTCTAAGTTGCCTTGATTATAGCCCAGTGAATACCAGGTGACTGTAAAGGCCCGGATACCCAGCCCTGGACCCTTCAAGCCACTTGACACCACTGGGTGCCTCAGACACATAGTATGCAAGACAATTGGCATGCCCCTCTCCCTTGCCCATTCCAACCTATCCCAGGCCCCATCTTGTTCCCTCCTGTTCCTGAATCAGCTCCATTTCACTTACCCCTGCCTCTCCCCTTTCCCCTATCCCCTCTCCCCCTCCCCCCTCCCTCTCCTCTCCTTCCCCCTGTCTCCTCCTTCTATTCTTCTTCTTCTTCTTCTTCTTCTTCTTCTTCTTCTTCTTCTTCTTCTTCTTCTTCTTCTTCTTCTCCTCCTCCTCCTCCTCTCTCTCTCCTCCTCTCTCTCTCTCTCTCTCTCTCTCCCTCTCTCTCTCTCTCTCTTCTCATTGGGTCCTGAAACTCCAGCTCTTAATAACTAGTCAGAACCTGGAAGGACCAAGAAGCACAAGTACAAGCAATTCACAAGGCCAGTACAGCACAGTACAAGCAATAGAACTTGGGTGGGTAGCAATGGAGTACAGGTCTATGAATAATGATGTAGCAATGGGTCCCTGTTTCATAGCAACAAAAAAAAGTTACATAATAGTGAATGCACTCATACAACCAAGAAACATAGTGACAAGCAAGAAAACTGCAATCAGAGAGCAGCTGAGTGCAGCTGCATAGCAATAAACCCAAGCTGCCCAGTGCTTTCACACAGCAGTGTGTTACAGGAAGACACAACCATAGGACATAGCAATGAGCAAAGAACATGGCATGTAAGCCATAGACAGAGTCACAGAGTGTAGAAGACATTTGATTAGCACTCAAACACATCTGGCGGCAATGGCATGGCCACAAGGTATGTGACTCCTGAATGTGTGGTCAGGGAGTAGTCACCAGCAGCAGAGCCTCAGAATGTAGCATTGGGCCCCAGTGACATGGCAGTGTAGGAAGCAAAGGACTAAAGTACCTCCCTGGGTTCTAGGCCACTTTACCCGGCTGTGAGCCTCCCAGTACCACCTGACTCCCAGAGTACATTGGTCTATGTCTAGTCTCATAGCACACTCCCCAAAGCACAAGAAATAATTTCACCTCTGATTCCCTCCAGAGCCTACTGTGGCTAAATAGGAAATTGAACATTTTCTGGAGAAAGAAGCACCTTGGGGTGGAGAAGGGAGTGGAGAGACACAGGCTGGACTCTCTCTTTAGGGAGGAGGCTGTGGATGCTCTATGCTGCCCCAGGCCTGCCAGTCCCAACCTACAGCCCCACCAAGCCCTACTGGGGCTCCCTCCCCCAAGTATGCCCTTGGATCATCTTCCTTCCAGGACTGCCATTCAGGAAATTCTTCCATCTCGAGCTCCCTTCATCCAGGACATTTGGTTTTAAAACAGGTCTTTTCATGTACCATTTTGTCAATGTAGTGCAAAGCTTCTGTCCTGTCCTGGACTACTGGGCTCAGGGTCCCATGGTTGTGATCTTGAGTCAAGAACAGGGCCTGGGCAGAGCTAGAGGAATCCTTCACCACCCTTCTGAGCAGCCCTGAAGTCTTTTGAAAGAGGCGGGCTTTAAGTGGAATGAAGAGTCAGAGTTATCCTGAACATGACAGCGCTCCAAACAATAACCATTTGCAAGCATCCTCCTTCACCCCTAGAGCCCCCCAGCCAACCAGACACTAGGGGAGAGCAGGTAAGATGAGGGATTTCATGCTAGGTACACAGGCCTGGCTTTGTTCACACATGGCTTACAAACACCTGCCTGTGCCTGGTTCCCCAGTCCTCAGCAAGCCTCCAACCAGCCAGAAAACTCCCATCCCCTGCCAGGTGCCCAGCTGTGTCCAGGGGAAGGCAGAGACAAAGAGAGGCCGAGGCCCTGAGCCCTGGACATTCTCCAGCCAGCAGGAGTTGAGCCATGCCCTGGGAGACAGGAGGCAAAACAGTGGCCCTGAGCAGGCAACCAGTAAATATTTGGTGAGAGATGAACGATGAAGGGGCATGACTGAGACCATGGATCCTCTAAGTATCACACCTTCCCAGGTTGTTGGGCACACCTGGTGAGCCCCCAGCAAAGAGCAAGAGAAACAAGCAGGATGTCCTAGAGGAGGTGGCTATGCTTTGGCTAAACAGAGGCAGAAGTGCTCGGTGCTATTCAGGAGGTGTATGTTCAGTGTTGCTGCCAGTGTGGGAATCCCATCACAGGGTCTTTCCCGCCTCTCTCTACTGTCTCTCCTTTCTTCCCCACCCCCTCTCTACTTCTGTCTCTCCCTGCCCTGCTCTGGATTATCTAATTATTTCTCTAATTATCTCTTTCTTATTTTCTGATTTTCTCTCCCTCTCTGACCCATATTTTCCCTCCCTCTTTCTCCCCCGATACTCAGAGATTTGTGGCAGACCAGAGGGCCCTCATACCAGCAGATGAAAAATTGACAAGGATTGTTTAAAGATTCAGTGGAATTTCTGCAACCACACCACACTGGAATGACTCGTTTCTTTCATTCTTTCTTTGAAAGCCTCCCCCCTCCCCTTCATCTCTCCCATCCACTCCCCACATGCCACCCCCTCTGAGTATATGCTTTTGTTTCTCTTCCTTTCTTGAATCTGCTAGTCTCCAAAATGATCTCTGATCCCTTGGTTTCATGTCCACTTCTCCAGCTGTCCCACCCCATTTAACCTGCTCCTCAGCAAGTTGATTTCCGCTCCTGGGGACACCATT